TAGAAAGACTGAAAGAACAACACCTGCCTTGATTTGTTTGCTTAAGATTTTTTTTGATTTTTTTAAATCATGACAATAGCTTGCATTCTCAGTGTAGTTATACGGTTGCCAATTTAAGTAATAAAATAAATATCATGATTTAAGATTCGGAACTAAATTGTGTAACACGTGTAACTGGTCAATCTATGATATACGGGCATTAGTGGTTTGAGCCCGAAAATATTATTCTTCGGCAGCTGATGGTTCGGTACTGGCACGATTTAATGATACAATTAATGTCACTGTAAGAAAAATAAAACATGGTCTTAGATAAACCTTTGAGACACGCGCCTTTGTGCACTAAATCTGCATCATGCAATTAATCAATAGGAATGCATAATGTTATTTTATTTGCACCACTATCGAACCGACTCGTCCATTTGTCTTGTTAATTATAAGTTTAACGATTATGTAATGTTTTGTTTACCCGTCAATAGGAAATTCCAACTTCATTTGTACCAGGCATTATGAGACAGCACAGGAACTACACATCAATTTTATGGAAACATAAACAGTTTTATATTTGGTAAGGACACTTTACTGCTTCTGAATTGTTTCAGAATCTAAAGATATGATGTATGTGATGTTATCATTGAACAATGCATGTAAGTTTTCAACATCCTCCATAGCTGACTTTTATACTTTTGTATTGCATCTAGTGTAAATGTTTTTGCAATCTATCCCGGTAAATCTCATTTGCAGATTATACTTTATCTTATAATAGCATAAATCAGACAGTTGGTTTTTCTCTTTGAATTGCTTTACATGTTGTCATGTCGAGGCCATTCACAGTATAGCTTTCTGTACAGTATGGGTCTGTCGATGTCTGTACAAGTTGTTTACATCTTTACTTAGTCACAATCTTACTCGGTATTTGAAAGAATTCAGCCCCTGTGTTAAAGGCACCAACAGTTATTTTTTTTTTGTTGGGGGAGGGGTTCTCGATCACATGTTTTGTCCTTTATAAAACAAATGTTATTGCAAGACTTACTTTTTGATATTCAAAGTCTTTAATGTATTTTTTTCCACAATTTTATGAGGAAACAATATTTTTTTTTTCATTTTCCTTCTGGAACAAACATGATAAGATTTAGAATCCTACAATGTTTTTCATAAAAAAATAAGAATGATGAGTGTTAAATGATTGTATGTTAAATATTTTTCACAAATGAAAATTTCAGGCTTCTTGAAGCAAACATATATAGCTATAGCTACTCATGTAATTAGCGATGATCTCAGTACTCACACACCATATACATAAAGCTTTGGCTGTAACACTGAATCCACTTTTCACTTTGGTTGCTAATTGGATGTGTACTGATTTATATTTTAGTCGGTGCCAACAGTATTTATTCATCAACTGTAATTAGCTTTGAACTAGCTATTAGAACTCAGTGTCTTTTTGTTAATTGGTTGCATACTCCGTGCTGATCTCTTTGAGTCCAGCCCTTTCCAACTGAGTTTTACAATTTGTTCTTATGTTGTTTGCTATTTCAAAACTGTTTCTGATCATGGGAGGGTTGAGTGCTCGCAAACATGGTTAACCTTGTACACTATGAATACGATTATCACAAGTAAGAGGCCTTTTATTACTTGCTGGTTATTGTTTGCTGTCTGTCATATTTTTTTCCCCATTTATTATCTTAACAGTTTTATATTTTAACGATGAACTATTATAGTTGTTAACATCCACACCCACATCATTGTTATCTCTTGTGGAAAGTTTTCTTATTGGCAATCATACAACATCTTCTTATGTTTTTAAAGTGGGGAGATTTTACAATAAATTATGGTTTCACTGGCAAGCGATCAAACATACTACCAAGCTTAAGAGATCACTGATAGAGTTTAGTGGACCTTAAAAGCTAAAAATGTATATATTTTTTAGGCATGAGGTGTATTTTTTATATATTTTTCTAAGTTTCGTTCAAATGAGTTGAATACAGGTCAGCACATTCCGGAAGCAGAAAACGGCGTCTTTATCATTGATATTTCTGTAATAGAGTATAATTATGAACAAAGAGAGATTTGAGGTTTTTAAAGTCATGATGAGAAAGCAACCCAAACGACTAACTAAAACCAACAAACATAATTTCATATTAGACATGACTATCTAAACGTTATCTCTGGCCAAAAGTCGCCCACTTTTTCACAGTTTTTAGGCTAAAGCTGATTACCTTTTATTAAATTAATTCAATGAAATATCTTAACGAAGGAACTTGGTAATGTTTTTTTTTATATATATATATATATCTTTGATCATTATATTTTCATACAGCAGACAACCCATGTTAGTTCTTTGTCATTATCATTTGGTTGATGTTTCAGACCACCACATACAGGTTTACAGGGTACACACATAAGTCGCTGTTACTATTAACACTTCCTCCAGGAAGTGATCCCATCAATTCATTCAACAGTGCTCATCTCATTTTCAACATCCAAAATTGGATCACTTTGGTACAATTACTATTTAAATTCAAGCTCTTGAGGTAAATTTATAATCATATTGACAAAGCTTCCCTTGAAATTGCCTTAAACAATATCAGATCTACATTTCATGCTAATTCAGTGAACTAGTATATGTTCCCAAATTTAAAAAGCTTATATATGTGAAATTAAACGTGGATATTGATAGAGCTTGCTAAATAAAATTAGTCTGTGTTTAACTGTGACTTTATGCAATTCAAATGTTGAAAAAGTAGCTAATGAAAAAATATACAAAAAAGGACTACAATCAATGACGATGCAAGGACACTAGAAAAATAACTCTTCCAGCAAATTAACATGACAAAATCAAAGTCAGTAACCAAACTGATTTACAGTTATTTTTGAACAAATAATGTTTTTGTTTATTATACTTACATGTATAATTACTATAAATACAAACAAAAAAATGTACATAACAGAAACATAAGATACAAATTTCAAACTTTCACAAAATGCACTTCTTTCTGAGTTTTACTGTGTGTTTATTTATTCTACATTGTCTAGAGAAACTAGGGGAGGGTTGAGTACTCACACAACCTGTTTTATCCCAGCCACATTATTGCACCTATCCAAAGTCAGGAACCTCTAGCCTTTGTTTGTCTTGTGTGTTTTTTTTTTTTTTATATAATTTTGGATCATTTGTATGTATTGGAGTTTAGGGTGGTGTCCTTTTCGCTGAACTAGTGTACAAAATAATTAAGGGGTCAGCTGAAGCCCATCTCCGTGTGCCGGATTTACTTGCTATGTTAAAAACCCATTATAGTGTCCTTGTTTTCTCTTTGATACATTCCCTGTTTCCATTCTCCATTTTACATTTTTAAAAATCAAACTGGAAATAACCAAGGTTTTAAAAATTTCATTTGTTTATGCCCCTCACTTTGGGCAAGGATTTGTATAGTAAGACTTACTATACAAATCCTTGCTTAGGAGCATTATGTTTTTTCGGTCTGTGCGTCCGTTTGTTGGTCCGTTCGTCCGTCTGTCCCGCTTCAGATTAAAGTTTTTTGTTAAAGTTTTTGGTCAAAGTAGTTTTTGATGAAGCTTAAGTCCAATCAACTTGAAACACTTAGTGCATATGTTCCCTATGATATGATCTTTCTAATTTTAATGTCAAATTAGAGTTTTGACCCCAATTTCACAGTCAACTGAACATAGAAAATGATAGTGCGGGTGGGGCATCCGTGTACTATGGACACATTCTTGTTTTGTAATTAGTTCGTAAAACAAAATATTTCACACAACAAGTTGATTATTATTGATATCGACAACAATAGGAATACATATGCATATGCATATAAGCATAATATAATATAGTCTGTCTATAAAGATCCTATATTAAAAGTTTTAACCATGAATAACCGAGCTTTTTATTTCCATTTTTCACAATTTTTCTCTACAAATCACATTTTACACAAGAATTACAATTTTTTTAAAATACTAATAACTATATGACTTCTTAAGATAAACATCAGATAGTATATTCTATTTAGATCCAAATTCGAAAGTTTGAACCATTAATAACCGAGATTTTTTCATTTCCAGTTTTCGGGTTTTCTGTCTGAAAACATATACTCAACCAAAATTACCCAAATACTAATATTTAATATTTAGATAAATAAAAGACTTCACAAAATAAACATAAAATAGTATGTTATTTTTTCTATATAGATCAAATTTCAAAAATATTAACCATTAACAACGGAGATTTTCTACGTTTCCATATTCATGATATTTCGATGTTTTTTCACTAAAAATCACTCATTTCATCTCAAAATTACTTCAATATGAATAATAATAACTAGAGGACTACATAATAGTCTATTAAGATGAGGTTTCTTGTCTTCAACAAGCTTTAGGTCTAAAAATGTAACCATAAATAACAACTTTTCTTCTGTTCCAGTTTTCAGCATTTTTTCTCTAAAAACCACATATTTTCCCCAAAAATAACCTTTTCCGCAAATCCTATCAATGTATAGTTTTAGTATGTTGTTAGTACAAGTCTATATTATAATTTGCACTAAAAAAACCTTGTGTTGCAATTAGTTGGAGGTTGAGTGATTTCAGAGCTAAATTGACTAGGCTAATAGTACGAGGGAATCACTCAATTTAAATTTCTTTTCTTAATTGTATAATTTACATTTTTATAGCAATTCTGTATTTATGTCTTAGAAATAATTAAAAGGTAATTTTCATAATATCCTTGGACAGGTCAAAGGCAATTCTTTCGCTTTACCTAATAAAAGTCATATATCGATATAAGGTGTAAGAAAATGATTAAATACGAAAATGAACGATTTATTTAGATGTAGATATTAATATACTGCTAAATAAAAGTAGCATGACATTTACACAGATCGTACTGGAGACATAATATCGACTGTTTCAAGGTATGCATAGCTTGTAAAGTTAATCCATATTATATGCAGGCATATTAATTGGTTTAGAATTCAATATTGAATGCATGACTTGACCATCGATTCGGTGCCCATCATCTGAAAGAGCTCACACACTCACCTTTAATGATATATTAATCATAAGCAAACAGAAAACTATGCCAGTAATGGAAAATAAGTGAGTGGTGAAGAATAGCTTCAAGCTCTGATAAAAATGATGTATTGTATACTGAAGTTGTTGGAGATTGACGTTAATAGTTCACATTGTTTTAGTTACAGGAACTAGGGTTTTATGGCAGGTAGCATTTCCCATCACTGACCGAGAAAGAATCAACTATCAGTAGGATGTTTTAAAATTTCCAATAGTCAGGTGTAGTAGCATACTTTGCTTATTATTTAGAATAGAAAATATGATAAAGTTACTTCATGGATAAAGCTTCTGTAAAACGGTACTTTTTTTAAATTGTTTTCGGGGACTACAACCCAGCTGCACAAATGTATTTCGGTATTACTGATTTTATGTTATATGCATACTTTGTTTATAAATAATGATTTTTGTTTTCCAAATTAAACTGAAAGTCGGCTAAGACCGTTTTTATATATAATATTTACATGTTTTTTTGTTTTTTGTTTTAATTTTGTAGTTTTAATTACATTGCATGATGGTGCTTGCTATATGCAGTGTCGTAGTAGTTTTATATGTATTGTTATAAACAATTTGAGATATATGCATTGTCGAAATTTATATTTTTTAGAAAGGAAAAAAAACACACACACACACGCAAAAAGAGCAGAAAAACACATTCTACCAACGAGAAAAAAATACTCGAGTATTTTATTATATTTCGTACAAACTGCTTAATTTATCATCAGTGAATTTAACGTTAAAAAAGTAAATCATGCCACCACTGACCGAAATATTGGCTGCTGATATTATTTGCAAGCAGAGATTTGAAAACCGTAGTATTGAATTTACAAATACAAGTCCGTAAGATAATATATATCCGAAATATATCAATATCTTTTGAATTTGATACTTTAAATTCCATTTAAACTTATTGCTTTTCAACGACTGATATGAAAGGATATACACAGAAAACACAATGTCATTTAAAAAATATTTATCTAGAAAATTTGGTTAATGCATATTGAATTTGATTTTAAATAACGTTGGTCATTGAATCTTCACTATTTACATCAGTATGTCCAATTCAATGTTAAATGGTACATTTTTACAAAAGAAAATATCGAGTTCAATATAGTATGTTTCATTTGAAGTACAATCATTCGTCTGATTTATAATATTTGCCGTGGTGGTTTAGTGTCATACTTAGGAACTGATTTGTTTTATTTCAGTAAAAATGTTTAAAATGGTTTTTCCTTTAAAACATATTTAAATGAGGTCTTTCACCCGCCTATCGTCGAACATCGGTATAATATATAAATGCTTTAAGTATAGAGGCAATACGGTATGTAATGCAACCCCACACATATTTAAAACCTAATAAACGACGGTATGGATGGGGTTTACAGGATAGAGAATAATGGGCAAAAAGTGCAGAACAAGGATTTGTATAGTGCAAATACACTTTACAAATCCTTGGCAGAATAATAGGCATAAAAGTATAAAGAATAGAGAAAACTAGGGTAAAAAAATAAAGAATAGAGAATAATGGGCAATTAATATAAAGAATAGAGAAAAATAGGGCTAAAAAATAAAGAATAGAGAATAATGGGGTGCTAAAATATAAAGAATCGAGAATAATGTGCAAAAAATATAAGAATAGAGAAAAATTACCTAAGAAATTAAAGAATACAGAAATGAAGAAAAAAAACCCATCAAGACCCTCATAAACGTGGTTCGCGAATTGTTGATGTTAAATATTCATACAATTTATACAGTACACAATTAACATACAATGTATACAGTACACAATTAACATACAATTTATACAGTACACAATTAACATACAATTTATACAGTACACAATTAACATACAATTTATACAGTACACAATTAACATACAATTCAGCGTTTTTAAAAACATTGGATTTATCACCAGACTGATGCAATTATTTAATTCTTTACAAAATATATTATAATTTTTCCTGCAAGAGAATTACGCAAACATCTGAAAGCGCATTCAGTTATACCGATTTTGCAAAACAAACAATATTGTGTAATCATAAAATACTGTCAACATCTTAAATTTTAATGTAGCATGAAATATTTGTCTTAAAACATGGAACATATTTTATAATCTACGGTCCTTTAAGGTTTCTACAAAATTACAGCGAACATGTTAAAAAAAATTGCATTGTATATATATTTGTATTGTTCGTATGCCTTCAACCCCTCGACTAGCTATATAATATTATATATATATTGATCAGCATGTACATAATTTCTCTTTTCAGAGGATCTTTTTGTAAAGAGTATTTAATTGGATGGACATGAACAAATGGCTGTCTCGGTATTATTTAGTTAAGCTGAAATGTATATTTCGGTAGGCTCTAATCAATGAAAAAACTCTCTTTCATCTTACTTGAAATTTCATTGTGACATAAGTACATATTGCTATGGTTAATTTGACAAAATCCACACTATCATGTGAAAATCAGTATAAAGTGAAAAAATGACTCGGGTGTCGAGTGGCAGCATAAAGCCTCGAGTTTCAAATTGTAATCGATTCCTGGTCATGTCAAACAAAACGCTTTAAAATTGACAATAACTGTACGAGGCATTCAAGAGTAAGAGCAAAGACTGGTTTGCTTAGAGTATGTAGAAAAATGTGTCCAAGTGGGCTCATATGTCTGCCTGTAGATTGTCACAGTGTGAGCTAGCGTGTACAAAAGGATTACCCTGTGTCAGTTTGATCTAAAAAAAAAGGAAAGTATTTTAATCTCACCAACGTGATATTGTCCTGGATGTGCATGTAATACTTGCTGCTGCTGAACTTACAATGTATCTATAAATCATTATTAAGTTATACATGCAGTTTTTGGTGTTCTCTTTTCTTACTTTTACTTTTTATTGAACACCAATTTCATAACGCGCGATTTAATCAAATATTTGTATATATCACTTTTACCTTTACAAAAAAATTATATTTAGAGTTTGATTTTACAAAAAAAAAATTATTGGCATTTAGTGTTTGTGCTAATGTCAATCAGTTTTACCAAAAGCCATCGAAAACGGTTCTGATAATTATATTTCAGCCGAAGCAATCTATTCCGCATTTGGATCGAGCTTCGCCTCGGACAGTTAATATATTTACATTTATATCGCCACTGACCATTCTTCTATCCACATTGATAGAACTAACTGTCTAAACATTTAAATATTCATTCTTTTGTATTCTATTGTCGGTGTTCTTTGCCGTGTCTATTTTGTGTGCTGTCCGTCATTTCCAGTCAATGTTTATTTCAATCCGATTAAAATTCCAATCTACATATCGTAGCTCGCGTGCTCTCCATATGAGCATAACGAAATCAGATTTCTATATCCTAATAAGATTGTATTTATTATTTTGCAGTTGGATACTGTTCCTGGTTGTAGTAACGGTTGTTACAGTTTTGTTAATAAAACAAATGATAACCAAATTTGACCCAGAAATTATTACCTACATCGGCGATAACAGAAATTTGACGCCAGAGGACGCCATCAATCGTAAACCTTTGGCAAGTATTACGGGAAACATTATCCAACATTCAGTTGTTGGTTTTAAACTCTCAACGGCCGAAATGATGCTTTCCGACCCATTAGAGGACGCTAAGTGCAAACCGAAAATATACATAGCGTTTTTAAAGGTCCACAAAACCGGGAGTTCTACAATAATGAATATGCTTTACAGATATGCAGAAAGATTTAACCTTAATTTGGTTCTTCCTAATTCGACTGGTGGAAACTTTAACTATCTAGGATACGGAACAACATTAAATTCATTGCAACTGGTGCCGATACCTGCCGGAGAAAAATACAATATTTTATGCAACCACGTGGTATACGACAAATTGGCCCTCCGTGCTGTCATGCCTAAGGAGACTCTGTATATTGGGATATTACGAGACCCCGTAGCAAACTTTATGTCTGCTTTCTCATACTATGGGGGCGGGAGATTTATGCAGTCGAAAGTACCTGGCAAGAGTCTTTCAGAATTTGATTTAATGAGAACTTTCCTTGAAAATCCACGGAAATATAATTCATCAGGAATAACATATTACGTCCACAACAAAATGTCGTTTGATTATGGATTAGATAGAGGTGATTTTGACAAAGATATTGCCATTACAAAATTCATCTCAGACCTTGATAAAGATTTTACTCTGATAATCATACTAGAATATCTGGACGAATCATTGGTTTTATTGAAAAGATTGTTATGTTGGGAAATGCATGACATTTTATATCTGCCAACAAATGTGAGATTTTCACCGATATCACAACAATTTAAAACTGAAGAATTAAGTAATTCCACCATTGAAAATTTAGAGAAATATAACAAAGCTGATTTTATGCTTTACACGTTTTTCAAACAGCGGCTTTTGTCTCAAATCAGCGACTTGAAATATGATTTTAAATCTGAAGTCATGCAATTTCAGGTAATACAAACTAAACTTGCAGATTTCTGTCGAGGGATTCCGAGAATGGGAAAGATTTTGACAGTTGCTGCTAGTATGTGGCATCGATCGTTTAACGTGACAAGAGAAACGTGTATTACCATGATGCGGGACGAACTAGATCTTGTGAGGGAAAAGATACTTCTTGCCATGGATAAATATATGAATTGGCTAAGAACAAAAAATAAATCATGATACTTTCTGTTTTCTGAATTTTTACCTGTTAATCTAAACTCCAAAGTACTACATTCCGGCTGAATATGAATTTATATATGTATACAACAATTTAAAAGTCTTTTAAACATATAAAGCTAATTGTTAATTCTCAAATGCAGAGACATATAATTTTAAACGGATAATAGATAAGTTCCCTTCATCAGGAACGTGTTAAAAAATATGAATGAACAAAAAAGTTAGATAAAAAATTACATAAAAGATATAAAAATAAAACATATTTATTTCTTAAGGGTATTATCTTTAGTTATATAACAGAAGCAGTATACAACCAGCAGTTGTTGCTCCCTTAGCTAATTTCCTGCATGTATAGAGAAACTAGCACCTTTTGACCCTGCTTTCCAAATTATGTACCGTTTATTTTTATTTCATTGTTCAAGTTAGTGGACATCCTATTGACAGAAGCACTAAAAGCATGTTGTCTACTAGTGTGCTTTAGTTTTAAGACATGTGGCCTAGATAGGCAAGAAGGAGTTTTGTACGCATGCAAACTGGTTTAACTCCACCACATTTTGTGCCTGTACCAAATGAGGGTATCTGAACCATGTGTTGTTCGTTGTTATTTGTCTTTAACTTGTTTGTTTTTCACTTTTTTGCACGCAAACTTTATCATTGGTATCAGAATTTTCAGGTGACGCCTGAGGGTATGACACAAAAATGAAAAAAAAAAATAGATTGCAAGTCCTCTTGTGTAAACGTCATTTGAGATAAAGGAAATGGGCATGTATAATTAACATTATAGGCATTCTCTACACCAAATGTTTCGTAATTTTTATATTTCGCCCTGATGCTATAATTATTGGCGACAAGCAAGTTAAATCGAGTTATCATACATTAAATGGTGAAATTACAAATCACATTATAAATGCATACCTGTCCATGGTGTCAAATTTTCATGAGACCCCTGTCGGCATGATCGTCAGTGGATTCCAAAATGATTGTCGTTGAACATTTTAACACCATTTGAGATAGAAATTATGTTACGGTACTATTTAAAGAATACACTGGTTTTCATTTTTGCAAGACAATATATTAATACGATTGGCTATCCTCACGTGAACTTGCTGTGTTTATTTTATCGAAGATTTGTCCTTCTCATTTGTGAATCGTTGTGTGTAGCTAAAATTCATGAAGATCCAAGGATTTGTTACTTCGTCCTTTTGTTAATTTTCATGTTCTTAGACGATGATGATTTTCCGTTGACTCCTTGTTGATTGCAGTTTCCTAAGTTTGTTCGACATGTGATTGTAAAGAACACGGAATACTGTGCATGAAAGTACAAACTCTTGGTGAAAAGAAATTGATCGCCTACGTTTGCAAAATCAAACCCTATCTCAGCCCTATTAGGCATAGATATTGAAGAATTGCAAAATCAGGTGCATTTTGCATAAAAGTAAATGATAGGTAAAAACCTGTCTTTCTAAAAAGATCCTCTGAGTTCGAAAATTCAAGCCCTATACCTCAAACAAAGGAGGGGGTGGGCTAAGTGCCATGCTTGACGTACAAATTGAATCTGATACTAGTACTTTTTTATTCGTATTTTTGAGTGAGAAATTTCGACCGCATGCTGCAGGTACCAAATTACTATTAATTTAAGATGTGAAAACTAACGGTCTAATTAATTAAAAAAAACAATTTACGAAAAACAAATATGACAGACAAGATACAAGATATTTTATTATTTAATTATTAAAATTTGAGCTGGCAAATGAACTACAAAAAAAACACCGTGAACATGACTAGAGTAATTAAAGAACATTTAAACAAAAAAATGTATACACATTTAAACAAAGTGACATATAAACAATGTCATCGAAAAAACATTAAGTCATTTGGAAGCCACTGTGATCTGGAGAAAATACGTTTCTTAATCAATTTATAGACCTAGGCCTAAGGGAAACAACTTCTGATCGATTATTTTATTTTTCTATTTTTCAAACTACATTGATAATATGACAGATATGAACCAAAGATAACAACTGAATTACACTGAACCGGCTCCTGACTTGGGACAGGCACATAAAGAATGTGGCGGGGTTAAACATGTTTGTGAGCGCTCAAACCTCCTCCTAACCTGGGACAGTGGTGTAACAGAAGAACATAAGAACACACTGGAAAATCAGTTGCAATTGCAATTTGCATGGCCTAACTCAAAAGATCAGTACGAGGCACAAAAAACAACATGAGATTACCATAACACATATTTAGTGTTATAGTAGTCGCAGAAACAACTAACATAATATTGCATGCACACGTGTAAAAATTGAGGTTTTTATCCAACGCAATCATAGGTTTGAACGATACAAGTCTAAATTGAAAATAACATTCAAACCTATGATTGCGTTGGATAAAAACCGCAATTTTTATACGTGTGCATGCAAAACAAATTTCTTGGTAGAGGGGTCTAAATACAGCACAAATTCAATTTAGACTTGTATATTTAAGGAATGACTGTAATATTTTTTCTGTCTATAAAGAAATAACATCAAAAATGTGGTGCACACTAAATAACACGCGTAGCGGGTTATTTTAAAGTGTGCACCACATTTTTTAGGTTATTTCGAAAAGACAGAAAAAATATTACAGTCATTCATTATAATTTAATTCTAAATTCCATTTTTAAAGAGTAAATCATGAAAAAATGTTGATGACGTCACGATCACATGACAAAATTATGTCTATGAGCTGATAAACAAAAACTTTCAGCCAATCAGAAGACGTGTTACATCCAAAATTAAATTATATATATATAACGTTGTTTTCAATTTAGACCTGTTTATATTTTTTCGTTTGGGCTTGTATTATATTTGCCTTCAGGTTTATATGATCCGTTCATCCTATTTCGACTCTTCAAAATTCAAGAGTCTATCCTAAATAGACTGGGTAAATTATATGGCCTTCCAAATACCGTTTCGATTCATAACATCACTGAAGAGACATTAATTGTCGAAATCCGGATATGGTGTACTAACTTTTGCACCTTTTGTTTGCGGTATACCATCTTTTCCGCAAGTTTATTGTTTTCTGTTTGGTATTAAATTAGTAGTTTAGATCCATTTTGTTACATCTGGTGATTCGTTTATTTGGCAATCGCCAATGGCAGTCAGCAGGGTTTAAGAACAACTGTTGTTCGACCTGCTAGTCAAATGCGTTTTGTAAAAATATACTTTTTCACTTTTTTGGTCTTTTGGAAAATGTTGTTTGTGCTGTATTTAGACCCCTCTACCAAGAATGTGCTGGGCTACAACATTCATGACTACTTATAAGGACAACTTGGATGGGACATAATATATTAGCATATTATTCCCAGGAACAATTGAGAAGTTTCGCCGTGATTAAAACATATTTTAATAAGTGAATTCAAGTTGATGACTGTAAAAATCTGGCATGCATGCATATATTGATATAAACGAATAATTAACCAAATTGTTAACTTTGGGTAACTGATTTTGTCCATTGACGTAAATCCTTTCCCTTTAATTCATAGTATCAGAAAATACTATGTCATATAATACGATTGCGTTATATGTCTCTGATAGTAGCTAATTAATGTATACATTTGACAAAATAATGATGACGTAAAAGAATGCAGACACATATTTCGGAATTTAAGATTCCGTCGTGGGTTCTTTTATTAGACATAATTATTGTATTTCCGGTATATTTTCAGCACGTTTTCTGATTTTCTCTCTACTTCAATAATGTTGAGGAAGACATCTAAAGTTCCTTCTAACAGTGTTGAACTCGAAAGAGTTCATACATCTACTGGAAAATTTAACAAGGAAGCAATTAAACCGTTAGGAAGTAGCAATAAGGATGAAGATCCAGAGGAAAAACTCATCGAGAATGCTGTATTTGGTGGTGAAGAAAACCTGCTTCAAAACTTGGAAGAACTACAGTCCAAGGACAAAGTAATAGCTCTGGTTAATGAAAAAGTAGAAAAGATACAAAGTGGAAACTTGCATCTCTTAAAGAAGATGTTATGCTTGGGTATATTGAATATATAGAGAAAAGGCTAATCCATCTTCGGATTCTGTGTCCAAACGATTTTCTGATTTTGCAGCCATCAAAGTCGGCCAAATTAGAAAAATCAATCTGGTGTGAGTTCTTGGTCTAGTGGTTAAGACTGATGGCTACAGTGCTGAAGGTCCCGAGTTCGATTCTCACTCGGGGTGCTAAAAATATCAGTATACATCAGAAGGGTGATTTTCACCCTCTCACACACATCTCTGGTACCCAGACTAGAATGGGTACTTTGGGGGCCTCGGTTGGTCAAAGCTGCTCCCAACTTTGACCTGGAGATCAATCTGCAGATATCTCTTCGGTTTGTCTGTTCCTGCCGAGCAGCCCGGTTGTTCTCTCCGAGTACTTCGGCTTCCTCCACCATAATAACAGAATCTGCCAGGTGTCCTAACTCTCCCTGGTGTTGGGGTGGGGATTGTCCTTGTAAATATTGATCTTTGTAAATATGTTAATGACACATCTCCATTAATCCCGATAGGGAGTGTACATGGATTCCACTGTACCCTTGCAGCTCTCGAGGGGTTCTTCAAATATTGGAGGAATTTACCAGTACATACATACATCTGGACACAAAGATATTAAGAAAAGGAATTTGTATTGCATAATATGTCATGTGCAAACTTTTTAGTGGTAAATTGAAAACATTTCACATGTATCTAAAGCATCTTCAGAAATGTTCAAATATGATTACGAAATTCAATAAAATGTCGGCCATTAAAATTTTGTTTTACTCCAAGGGAAAATAACTCAATATATGGGCATATTAAAAGATAAATCACAGAACCAATCTGCAATTCAGACAGGGTATTATAAAATATGAAATGGGCATGACACCAAATTTTTTTCCAAAAAAGGGGAGGAGGTCAAGAAAAAATGACAGTGCACCATACCACGCCAAAACCTATAGAAACACTAACTACAATGTATCCACACTGAGACCAGGATAAAATACACAAGGCAAACAAACAAGTAAATTAAATTAAATCAAGAATATTTTTCAGTCATTGATTTAATTATAAATGATTCACCTTACAACTGTGATTGAGGTAAAATATGTACATTGTCTATTTCATTGTATTTGTGTCTTTATAAGTAAAGCTTATTAATTATTATGAAAATTATACAAATTTAAAAAAATGGAAGGACCAGCACAAAACATCACATTTGCAATAAGGCCAAAAAAAAATATATGCTTGTTTCCTGCCTCTTGACCGGCCCTAAGTTTGATCCCTGACGCAAAAATATTTAATTGCCTTTCCATAAATTATTCAAGAAAAAGCGTTGTGAGTCTTGTCATTAGACTACAAATCTAATTCCCCCTGGATTATTCACTCAAAATTGTAATAATATCGACGCATATCAAGAGTAGAACTTATCAAACCATTGAAATTATATAAACGTATTAACACACATGCACAAATTATGGGATGTATAAGTGTATATTAATAAAACGTTATCAAACTTGGAGAAGCCATGAAAATTTCCCTGATATTGTTAATTAGCAAAAAATAAAATAAAAATGATAGAAATGAAATAAAATCCTGACCGACCCACCCGAGAACTTAAAATGGGACTGGAGGCAGGAAACAGACATATATTTTTTTTGGCCTAACATAAATACATTTTGTACCTTAGTCAATTTCAAAAGAAAATTTATTTTATTTATAAATCAATGACTGACAAATGACTGAAACTAGTAGGTCTCATAAAAAATGTGTTCTGGTGGAGAGATGTTGCCTTTACCATTTTTTCTTCTGGTTTCATCATGTTCATACAACAAATGTACAATACAGGATGTTATTAAAGATAGGTTAAATTAGCCATTCTCTATGATTAAAGATAGGTTAAATTAGCCATTCTCTATGCCTGTACCAAAGCTGATTTAAGTCATGGGTATACATGGTATAATGGTAATATGCCAGTTCTTTTTGTTGAATGTGTTTTACTCAACTTTTTCTGTTTTGCCATTCTTCTAGACAATTCTCTTGAAGGTTTTTATTGTAACATGATCATAGATTATTAATCTGGGTCTCCTTTTCACGAATAAGTATTTATATTGTTACTTTTTTGACATTTTCATGATTTTTGCCAATACTCTCATGATTAGGTCTTGTATTGTACTCATGTTAAAATACTTGATATTAAGTTCCCATGTTCATGATGTTGTTGTGGTGCAAAATAAAAATTAATATAGGTTTAAACTATCTTGTGTTTTCCTATTAAAAAGGCTTCAAATTAGTACAATATAATCAAAAAGATTGTCATTGAATAATTTTTGCAACTGATAAAATCATTATCATGATTATGTGGCTTAAGAAATTTTGTTTGTATTTAACACTTTATCTAATGAACATTTTTGTGGAACCTGGCTGCAACATTTTGTCATGAAACTGAGACATAGAGATCCTACATTCATGTGACAGCCATCTTTTTCTTTAGACATCAATATCTTTGGCAAACCTTCTTGGAATTTTATGGAAATGGGACGAAGCAAAATTTTGAAAATATTTTTCACTTTTCCATATTTTACTGGTAAATGGACTTGATTTTTTGGACTTTACATTTAAATTCAATTTGGGGTTAAAGTTTTATTGATATCACTAACTTTATCAAACTGAAGTATCCTTCTTAAAATGTTTTGAAACTTTCAAAATTTTTGATGATTAAGAGATAATGTCTGAAATCAAATTAAAAAAAAAAAAATCTAATTATATTACTGATCAGTCTGTCATGTCTGTGTTAAAATGTTTTAGACATCACTAACTCTGTCAAACCTGCATGGAATGTTTTAGACATCAGTAACTCTGTCAAACCTCCATGGAATGTTTTAGACATCAGTAACTCTGTCAAACCTGCATGGAATGTTTTAAACATCAGTAACTCTGTCAAACCTCCATGGAATGTTTTAGACATCAGTAACTCTGTCAAACCTGCATGGAATGTTTTAGACATCAGTAACTCATTCAAACCTGCATGGAATGTTTTAGACATCAGTAACTCTGTCTAACCTACATGGAATGTTTTAGACATCAGTAACTCTGTCAAACCTCCATGGAATGTTTTAGACATCAGTAACTCTGTCAAACCTCCATGGAATGTTTTAGACATCAGTAACTCTGTCAAACCTCCATGGAATGTTTTAGACATCAGTAACTCAGTCTAACCTGCATGGAATGTTTTAGACATCAGTAACACTGTCAAACCTACATGGAATGTTTTAGACATCAGTAGCACTGTCAAACCTACATGGAATGTTTTAGACATCAGTAACTCTGTCAAACCTCCATGGAATGTTTTAGACATCAGTAACTCTGTCAAACCTCCATGGAATGTTTTAGACATCAGTAACTCTGTCAAACCTCCATGGAATGTTTTAGACATCAGTAACTCTGTCAAACCTGAATGGAATGTTTAAGACATCAGTAACTCGGTCAGACCTCCATGGAATGTTTTAGACATCAGTAACTCAGTCAAACCTCCATGGAATGTTTTAGACATCAGTAACTCTGTCAAACCTGCATGGAATGTTTTTAGACATCAGTAACTCTGTCAAACCTGCATGGAAAGTTTTAGACATCAGTAACTCAGTCTAACCTGCATGGAATGTTTTAAACATCAATAACTCTGTCAAACCTGCATGGAATGTTTTAGACATCAGTAACTCATTCAAATCTGCATGGAATGTTTTAGACATCAGTAACTCTGTCTAACCTACATGGAATGTTTTAGACATCAGTAACTCTGTCAAACCTCCATGGAATGTTTTAGACATCAGTAACTCTGTCAAACCTACATGGAATGTTTTAGACATCAGTAACTCTGTCAAACCTCCATGGAATGTTTTAGACATCAGTAACTCAGTCTAACCTGCATGGAATGTTTTAGACATCAGTAACACTGTCAAACCTACATGGAATGTTTTAGACATCAGTAACACTGTCAAACCTACATGGAATGTTTTAGACATCAGTAACTCTGTCAAACCTCCATGGAATGTTTTAGACATCAGTAACTCTGTCAAACCTCCATGGAATGTTTTAGGCATCAGTAACTCTGTCAAACCTCCATGGAATGTTTTAGACATCAGTAACTCTGTCAAACCTGAATGGAATGTTTTAGACATCAGTAACTCGGTCAAACCTCCATGGAATGTTTTAGACATCAGTAACTCAGTCAAACCTCCATGGAATGTTTTAGACATCAGTAACATGAGTAACTCTGTCAAACCTGCATGGAATGTTTTTAGACATCAGTAACTCTGTCAAACCTGCATGGAAAGTTTTAGACATCAGTAACTCAGTCTAACCTGCATGGAATGTTTTAAACATCAATAACTCTGTCAAACCTGCATGGAATGTTTTAGACATCAGTAACTCTGTCAAACCTGCATAAATGTTATGAAACAGAACCTGCTTCATGATCAAGAAATACAATGTAGCATTTGAAGATGAAAAATGATTATGAAATTAAAAGAAAAATTCCTTATTTTACTGATAAATGAACTTAGTTTTGGGCAGTCAACATTACACTTTTACACTGACGGCAGCAATCACAAACGGAGACACTGCATGGTTCAATGGACTGTATGGCAAATATGAAAATTCATTTTCTTCTTGTCATTGCTGACAAAAAGGAAATGCTAAAAAGTCAAAAGGAAGTCTTATAAATCACTAAACAGAAAACTAAAACTGAGCAATAGGAACCCCACAAAAAGCAGGGGAGACTCAGGTCTTGCTCAACTTAGGTTCCATGGTCATTTAGCATGTTTAGTAACTATATGTTTGAATAAATTGATAGATCATTATCTACTTAGTGTTATGTCTTTTAGGAAATAAAGAGGAAGAAAGCTACTTCTGATAACAGAAAACCAGTTTGGGAAGATGATGATGATAAGACTGGAAGGTATTAATTCTTTGAATTATTTATAAGTCACATGACATTAATTTGAGGAATTAAAAGTTTATTTATAACAAGATATGAAAAGTTGTGATATTTGAATGGCAGGAGTTCAATCTGTTAATTTCAAAATATTTTTGTAGTAAAAACAATATACCGATTTACATTGTTTTTATATTTAATTTTAAATACCTAAGATCTGACTTGAAAAATTTGGATTTGGTCTGGCAGCCAAGACAAAACAAATTTTAAATTTAATTCAGTTTTATACCTTGAAATTTAATGGATCAGTTTTACATATGTTTTAAAAGTAAATGGTTCTGAAGTATAATCCAGTTCTAAGTTTTGGTTTTGTCTTTTCCCTTTCATATATCATTAGCATCAGTCAGTGAAATGATCCTGTAAATGTTCGATAATATATTCTGTTATTACTATGATTTATAAAAAAGAAGATGTGGTATGATTGCCAATGAGACAACTCTCCACAAGAGACCAAATGACACAGAAATACAGAATGTGGCGGGGTTAAACATGTTAGCGGGCGCCCAACCATCCCCAAACCTAGGACAGTGGTGTAACAGTACAACATAAGAACAAACTATAAAAATCAGTTGAAAAAAGGCTTAACTCATCAGATGGATACAAATAGAAATACATCTAACAAAAACACAGATTGGAAGTGGACGGGTACTTGAACATCCCAACAACAAGTACAGATCTGAGAATACTCGCAGTTACTGACAGCTAGTTCAAAGCCAATAACAACTAATAAAAAAAATCATGCATCTAAGACTAAATTATCAATCAGTACACATCCAACATCCAATGGATTTAGTGTAAAGACGTCATAAACAGTCAGAGAAAAACATGAGCTTGTGTAATGCCAAGATACAGGTATCGACAGATTGAAGAGCCGTGAATGTGCATATGAATATAACAATAATATTTAGCTTGCTTTTAATTTACTGATAACAAAATCAATATTAATACCTTTTTTTTAGCATTAACATTAAAAGAATGAAGAAATCAAGAAATAAAGAACCAGAAAAAGAAGGAGACGTACCTACAGAGCAGTATACCAAACATCTACAAACTCAGTATGTGTTTATTATACATCATTATGCAGTAACCTTCTTGTGTAACTGGTGACTTACCTGTACTTGTTATGAAATACCTTTTAGTTTTAAATGTTTCTCTTTTTTCATGTCAAGGGCCTTTAATAGTCGACTATACATTATGGGTTTCTCATTGTTGAAGGCCGCACAGTGGCCTTTGATTGCTTACTACCACTTCATTTTAACTCTGGTGGATAGTTGTCTCATTGGCATGCAATCATATCACATCTCCTCATTTTTGTCTCGCCTTGACGGAGTCAAAAAGCAAGACATAGGTATGCTGTTTCCGGCGTCGGTGACGGCGGGGTGGCAGCGGCGGCGGCGTCAACAATGTATTAGTTTGTGATTAGGTCTAGAACATGGTGAACCACTAGTGGTAGGTCACTGATATTTTGTATGCAGTTGTATTAGCATTGGCACATCTCAGTACCATGGAGATTATTTGGCCCCGCCCCTCAAACAAGGTCTATTGACTTTGAAACTCTGCTTAGTTTACATGTATTAGTTTGTGATTAGGTCAGCTTATGGGGAACCACTAGTGGTAATTAAATGATATTTGGTATGCAGTTGTATAAGCATTGGTACATCTCATTACCATGCAGATTATTTTGCCCTGCCCCCTCAGTCAAGGTCTATTGACATTGAAACTTTGCTTAGTTTACATGTATTAGTTTGTGATTAGGTCAGTTTATTAGGAACCACTAGTGGTAGGTCAATGATATTTGGTATGCAGTTGTATAAGCATTGGCATATCTCATTTCCATGGAGATTATTCGGCCCCGCCCCCTCAGTCAAGGTCTATTGACTTTGAAACTTTTGCTTAGTTTTCATGTATTAGTTTGTGATTATGTCAGTTTAAGGGGAACTGTTAGTGGTAGGCCAATGATAATTGGTATGCAGTTGTATAAGCATTAGCACATCTCATTTCCATGGAGAATATTTGGTCCTTACCCCTCAGTCATGGTTTATTGACTTTGAAACTTTTGCTTAGTTTACATGTATTTGTTTGTGATTAGGTCAGTTTAAGATGAACCACTAATGTTAAGTCAATGATATTCAGTATGCAAATGTATTGGCATTTGCAAGGTTCATTTCCATGGAGATTATATAATCCCACCCCCTAATTATGGTTCATTGACTTTGAAACTTTTACATAGTTTACAAGTTACTGTTTGTGTTTAGGTTTATTTAAAGGGAACGACTTATGAAAAGTCAATGGTATTTGGTTTGCAGTTGTATTAGCATTGGCACATCTCATTTCCATGGAGATTGTTTAGCCCTGTACCTTCAGTCATTGTTCATTGACTTTGAATATTTGCATAACTTAAATGTTAAAGTATTGCTATTTTAATTTCAACATTTGCATTATCAAAATAACAAATAGGCGAGACATATCTCTGTGTTAACAGTTTATTATACCTATATACTAATTACCATTCAAGAATAAAAAAGTGTAGTTGGTTCCCTCTGTGTGCTTTCAAAATGTGCAAGTTTGTCAAAACCAGATAGGAACCAGACTAGAAAGGTGCTACAGATGTGAAATAATAAACAACTATTGCACATTTTGAGGTAGTTATTTCAGTGAATGATTAGATTGAAATATTTGCAAAAGAAATTTTAAAGATGTCAAGATACTTTGAAGTAAGCTTTTAAACTTCATAAATGATTTGATCTTCAAACAGTTTAAGCATCATAGATGGGTCGTATGTAGTTGAAACACACATCTAGCTTACTAAATTACGGGTCTGGTAGCCTTGACGTTTCATATAATTATGCATGTATCTCAGTCACTAAGCTGTAGGTCAGGGTGTAATTAGTTGGGAAAAGGGATGTTTGTATAATAAACTTAAAAAATGCTGCATTCTAACAATAATGAGCACGCAATAATTATATTTAGATGTTACACAAAATTTCTAAACATTTTTTATTCATCTTTAAAGAAAAATTTAAAACCATTGAACTCTATTTTGTAGACACCACAAAGTACATTCTATACCAAACTGGGCGCGGTTACCATCAGAACATACAGACCAATCAGATGGTAAGTACTGATGATGCATAATCATGAGCATGAAAAGTGTAAGTTAACGAGAATCTACTTGACATAATTCCTCTAAAGAATCAAATTCTTAAGCAATTTCCTGAAAATAAAGAGTACCTATCAAGAATAAGGGGAAATGTTTATATTGGAACTAAAGCCAGACTAATACCATGATAAAAAGAGAATTAAATGTCATTTTATAACACACTTCTTTGTTGTTAGATTTCACAAAGTTCACATGATTTTGTTTGATATTTACAGAGGATCCTGATGTTCAAGATTTGTTACAGTCGACTGGTGATTATATAACACCTTCTAAGTCATTATCTAAAGGTATCATACAGATTAAACAGTGTACTGATGGAAACAGAGATAATCCTGTACAGGTAAAGTCACTTCTCAGGTGTTACAATGTATACAGTCCACTGGTGATTATATAACATCTTATCAGTCATTATCTAGAGGTATCATACAGATCAAACAGTGTACTGATGGAAACAGGGATAATCCTGTACAGATAAAAGTCAGTTCTGAGGTGTTACAATGTAAACAGTCCACTGGTGATTATATAACATCTAAGTCATTATCAAAACAAATCATACAGCTAAGCACACCCAGACCCGATCTTGGTCTTGTTTGTATCTATTTAACTATTATTTTAGAGAAAAGTGCATTTCCTATACTGGTTTTTATAATAAGATAGCAAAAATTTGCTGCCTTATAATGGTATGACGATGTCATCACCATACCATTATAAGGCATTGCCATACCACATTATAAGGCAGCAAATTTTTGCTATCTTATAATAAAAACCAGTACAGGAAATGCACTTTTCTCTAAAATGATAGTTAAATACTACCACAAGGTTCCATACCACAAAAAGGAAGGTTGGGATAGATTTTGAGGTAAAGGCTCTAACGGTTTAAGAATTTTGGCCCAGAAGAAAACATTTTTCTGGACAATAACTTGTGTATAAGTGTATGGATTTGTACGAAATAGTACCACAAGGTTTTATACCACAAAAGGAAGATTGGATTGAATTTGGGGGTTATGGCCATATCTCCTTAGAAATAAGTGGCCAAAAAAGGGTAAAAAAAAGCAATTTTTTATACTGTTTGAATTGCTTATTTCTGAACAATTTCAATGTGGTTTAAATAATCTTGAAATATTGGGGTTCTTTGATATGCTTAATCTTATAGTGTATTTGGGAATTTTGATTTAGGGCAGTGTTTTCAAGTGGGTCCAAATAAGGGTGATAATTTAAACTTAGATTGATTTTAATATGCAGAATCTAATAATGTATTTACATTTTGGTTTTTGGGCCCATTTTTCAAATTGGTCCTCATCAGGGTCCAAAATCAAACTTCCAACAAAAATTGAGTGGTAGGGGTATTTGCTATGCTGAATTGCTTATATTTGTTTGTTTTTTACATTAAGAGTTACCTCCCATACAATGTTTTTAGCTTATACATTTTGTCTTATCTTTGGGGTGATAAACACACCGTTAGTTTTCTCAATTGAATTGTTTCGTATTTTTCATGTCATGGCCTTTATTAGCTGACTATACTGTATTGGTTTTTCTCTCACTTGAAGGCTGTAGGGTTGCCTTTAATTGCTTACATCCACTTCATTTGAACTTTGGTGGATAGTTGTCTCATTGGCAATCATACCACATTTCCTTATTTTTATATTAAAAACAATTTCCTCCATATTGACATTTCTGTTTAAATATATCAAACAACAATTTAATGATAATCCACTCTAAAACACACAATGTCACCTTTTGATATCACATCCTAACCACTTACAATTATAATCCTATAAACCACAATTACCAATTCATGCCCAATAGCATGCCACAATTTTATCCCATATTAACCTATTTTGCAAAAAAAAAAAATCTTCAGTTCATTATACCATTATTCTATTATCCTTTTAACTTAGGTACAATTTGATTCTGCATTTCATTTCCACTACATTATTCATTCAAAAAATTGATAAATTATCAATATTAATTTCTAAAAGCTAACAGTTTAACAATGGCAAGAAAATGAATTCCCTCCCCTTTCCCATCTTCCAAAGTCACAATATGTTTAAAAACTTCAATCATTACCTGATGACAAATAAACCTCAACTACCATACACATCTGTCTGAACCCCACTTGTAACAATATTCAAACACCATAAACTTATAAATTCTATAAAAGGTTTCCTACCAATTGCTGCTTAAACTAAATTCCTTTATGGAGCATTTTAAAAACTTAGCTAATAGTGTCCATTAATAAATACAAAAAATAAGTTCTTGTTGTACCTGGATAAGCCGAATCTATCTGTGTATTTAGATTTTGGATATTGGACAATAATAGGTAGAAGTCCAATTTCAAATGTTTCAGTGCTTTTTCAACATTTATTCTGCATCAGAAACTTATGCTGTATCAAATATTTAATCCCATTCCAAATTCAGAGCTGTAACAAGTTTGAATGAAATGTCCATACCTGGCCCAACTTTTCAGGGTTCAACCTTTGCAGTTGTACCAAGCTGCGCCCAGTGGAACATTTTATTGTAATTTTTTTTATATACATTTTGTTCATCTACTTATCAATATTAAACTAAACTCACTCTTTATGTGCTAAAGTGGAAGTATGTCATCGTGTCTAAATATTTTTTTTTTCATTTTGAGAATCTTGTGTTGATGGCAGAAGGGATTACCAGGTTAATGTCTTCTGTCCCAACACACTTCTCAGGAACTACTAATTAGAGCTTCCTGAAATTTTGTATTAACCTTTATGGCATGTTATACTGTGTGATGCATTTTTATTTCAACAATTATCAACTTCTTCTTGATTGAATGCTTATATTGGGGGAATCATTAGTGATGTCCTGTTACAGTTAAACTCGTTTTCTTTGGGTTGCTGTCTGTTGATTTTTATTCCAATCTGCTTTTTGACAACATTAAGATACAGTCTGGGTTTGAAGTTTTTTAGACATCAATAACTTTATCAAACTTTCATTGAATTTTATGAAGTGGACTTCTTTTCTGAAACTGACAGGGAGGAGTGGTGAGATTTTAATTGATGTCTAAATGCAGTTGATGTATATAGCTCTGAATCCTGGTCAGGATTTGCTATATGTATGGTCATTTTTGGCTATATCAGCTCAATATTGAAATAATACATTTATGACAAATCATCTAATTAAAAATATCATATGAATGGCATTTGAAAGTAGTCAATTTCAATCCTCAAATAATTTCCCCTTTTGAATTTGATTGAAATGGATTAAAGATCATGATATAGCTTTATATTATTAGGAATGTCAGAAAGCGTTATACTTTGGAAATTATTTAATGAATTTTATTTTTCAGTGTAAACTAAATTCTGCAGAGTTTCATCCAACCTCACAAGTGATGCTGGTAGCTGGTATGAATCAGACTCTTAATCTGTTTCAGGTAGGTGTATTTACATGAATAAGAATATATGTAACAAGTTAAGAGTTGTTGAAGGCCGTAGAGTGATCTATAGATGCTTACATTCATAACATTTGGTGGATAGTTGTCTCATTGGCAATCAAACAACATGCCCTTATTTTTATACAGCCATCTTAGACTAGACATTATACTGTAGTCTGTCCATTCATCTGCCTGTCCGTCAATACTTTGTTAGATAACTCAAATTTGCTTTGACCAATTCCCATGAAATTTTAACACAACATTAGCATGTCTCTAATATAATTTTGAAAGAAAGTTCCCTTTCGATTTGAAATAAAATTATTTTGTGGTTCCAGATTTATGGAATTTAAACTGTAAGATTTAAGGATTCTATTAATACAAAAGGGCAAAAATTACTATTTCCAGTTGACGTTTATCAAGGTCATATGTCTCCCAATCTAACAGCTCTATCCTGAACCAGAATGAAGCGATAATCAATAACCCATAATTCCAATCATTCCAGGTGCAATTCTCTTATAAATGTCATAGGATATGTATGAACCAAATGTATCAAATCTTTGCCATAATGTTCCAAACTTAAAGCTCCATTTCTTATTATGTATATCTTACTAAACAGTTTCAATGGATTGGAGATAGCAAGCTATGGTCAAGATTTATAACATCAAACAAAGCATGTGCCTTGTTTTCAATTTCAAGGTCATAGGTCATATATCCTAAATCAAGAGACATCATGTCTCTTATATGTATGAATTAGGAGTTAAACCAACAAAGAGCTAATAATTAAAAAATACTTGAGTAGAAAACTTTGGGGAAAGTCACCAGAACACTTTAACCCAAAATATAGAACACAACCTTTGACCTCAATGTCCTGCTTATGGATCAAGGAGTTCTCATATCAATAAACTTTAGGTCTCTATAACTAACAGTTTATGAGTTACACTGACATACCATTTATGTGAAATGCAAATAGTGGAAATAACTGGATGACACTTGATCACTTCAATTCAAGTTGATTTTAAAATCTTAAGGATGTTATAAATTATTTGGGAAACAATTAAAAGTATCTTTTACAGTTTCAGAGTAGTAGCAATAATAAGAAAAAATGTTAAGGGGATATAACTCCTATAGGGATATGTATTCTGTTCCGCAGTGTCAATGGTTAAAAGTAATCTCTGTAGATTGTCATGTGCCAAAAGTCTTTTCCATATGTTGTGAGAAATTAGAAAACCCATCTCAGACAGGAAAAAAAAAACAAATGATCAGAACAAAATCCAAAGGTCTTTCTCCAGGTTCTGGAAATATCTAATTATAAGCGTTGATAACAGTCAAACACAAGTTCTGTTGAGATTCTCCTTTATACAATTATATTTAAAGCAGCTCAAACAATGTGTAAAGCAGGAGTAATTATGATCATCAATGTTACTTATATTTCATAGAATTAATTATAACTAACTGCATGCATTTAAATAAAATTGAAAACTCAATACAATGCTTAATTGTGAAGAAATTTCGTAACAATTTGCAAATTCCAAAAAACTGCAGTAACTATTTTTCAAGAGTCAAACATTATATTCAAGTCTTCTATTCACAAATAAAAATGTTAATTTGAATAGAAATCAGCTTTTTTATGCCCCCGCTGTAGTTGAGGGGCATTAAGTTTTACCCCTGTCTGTAGGTCTGTAGGTATGTATGTACGTCCCAAAGTTGGTTTCCATTCTCTAACTTTAGTTTGCCTCAACCAAATGTTATGAAACTTATACAAAATGCTTATTACCACAAAACACAGATCAATTTGAATTTTGGTGGCGTCATTTTTACTGTTCTAGAGTTATGCCCTTTACAAATGGAAAAATTGCTGAATTTTTCGTTTCTGTTCTCTAACTTTAGTTTGCCTCAACTAAATGTTATGAAACTTACACACGATGCTTATTACCACAAAATACTGATCAAATTTGAATTTTGGTGGCGTCACTTTAACCGTTCCAGAGTTATGCCCCTTTACAAATGGAAAAATTGCTGCATGTTTTGTTTCCGTTCTCTAACTTAAGTTTGCCTCAACCAAATGTTATGAAACTAATACACAATGCTTATTAACACAAAATACAGATCAAGTTTGAATTTTGGTGGTGTCACTTTAACCATTCTAGAGTTATGCCCCTTTACAAATGCAAAAATTGCTGAATTTTTCGTTTCCGTTCTCTAACTTAAGTTTCCCCCTACCAAATGTTATGAAACTTAAACATAATACTTATAATCACAAAACTCAGATCAAGTACAAATTTGGGTAACATCACTTTTACCATTCTTCAGTTATGTCCCTTTATAAATTTATATGATATGCAAGCGGGGGCATCATCTGTGTCCCATGGACACATTCCCCATTTATTTTAGATGTTTTGTGAAATTTTGTTTTCAATATAAAAATAAGGAGATGTGATATGATTGCCAATGAGACAACTATCCACCAGAGTTTAGAGAAAGAAGATAGAAGCAATTATGAATCACGATACAGCTTTCAAAATTGAGAAAACCTATATCAAAAAGTCAACAATAAAAGGCCCTGACATGAAACATATGTAGCAATTCAAACAAGAAAACTAACGTCCTTATTTATACAATACAATACAATTTACAAAAAACAAATATGACAAACATGAACAAAGGACAACCACTGAACTACAGGCTCCCTACAGGCACATAAGGAATGTTGTGGGGTTAAACATGGTTGTGAGCAATCAACCCTCCCCCTGACCTGGGACAGTGATGTAACAGCACAAAATAAGAATAAATTGTAAAAGTCAGTTGCAAACAGCTTTTCTCAATAGATCTGTGTGAAGCATAAACAAAAACAAAAGACACAAAGTACTGATATAAGAGTACTCATAGTTAGAGAGATAGTTTCAAAGCAAATTACAACTAATAAGTAAATCATGTTTTTACTAAAGTATCAATCAGTACACATCCAACGGATTTATGAAAAAAAGGTACACAAACAGTCTGAGAAACTCATGACCTTGTGCATTGCCAAAATATAAGTAAACTATATTGACAGGATGTAGGATCATGAGTACTCATAACTGTACATATAAGGATATATATTTAGTTATGTTTTAATTTATCCAGAAACAAATTCTATGTTAGCACCATAAAAAACAATATTTAAAGATTTTACAAGGTGTTAAATTGATAACTTTAAGACTAATTAAGTTTATTCGTAGGATCAATGAATTTAATGATAATAAACAAAATTAGGATGTGATATCCTGTTCTTAATAAAAGTTTTACAGGTATAGCCATTTTTTCCAACAAAATCTTGAAGAATTTAGTGAAAAATTTAGTTAATTTGTGGTAACTAAATCCCTGACATAATAATTTACCGCTATTTATTACATGAAATATAAAATAGATGTACATTTGTTTTTCTTCAGTTCATCATGTTTATTAAAAACATCAAGCATGAAAATATGAAAATGTAACCCCTAGTCTCAAACATGTTACCGGTTTAAAAAGAATATACACCAAGATGTTACATGATAAATATACCCACTCAAAATTAGCTTTTAACCTGACGTCATCACCTTGGTTACAGATACTTTAAGAGTTATAGTACTTTAAGCTGTATTAAGATATCACCAAAGTATTTTTCATTTATATAAAATATATTTGGACAATATTGAATACAGAACTTACTTAAATTAATAATATTAAACTATTATACCTCAAACAAGAACCCATACTTAAATGTGCTCTTATTATGAAAACTTAAATCAATATACACATAGCTTATTGTAACTTTGCCCTGGGTCAGACATATCCTTTAAGTTGGATTTAAAAAAAAATATTCTTAGTTTATATATGTATAATTAAAAATGATACTGGTCCATCAGATTTTAGACAATTTAAAATTACAAATCAAGACTTGTTCAACAAAATTACAAAGAAATTGATTGAAAGGATCACAGCAGTAAATAAAATGTAAAAAGCTGAGTATCAATAAATTGATCAAGTAAAATGTTCTGTTTTTTCTGAAGTATCATATTTATAATAAAACATATGAATGCTAAAAGAAGACTGTAACACAGTATTAATTTTCATGGAAGACTTTGGGTAACTTAGTGTGACAAGTTTTCTTTGCTTTGAATTATTTAACATCAGCCTCTCTTTTATTGTATTGATATGTGTATGTAACTGGGGGATGCAAAGTTGCTCATTTAGGTTCTATTTGTGTTATCCCAGTAATTAAAGATAAATAAATGGGTTAATGTTCAAAGGTAGGAAAGGGGAATGTTCTAGCAGATTTATGGACTAATTAAGTAAAGTAATATTGTTGTATTAAAAAAGATTTAACAACCACTACTTTCATTTTAAATAATGTTTAACAATAACTACATTCATTTTAGAGAAGATTTAACAATCATTTAACATTAAAAAAATCCTTCTAATTTATTGAAAATTATGAAAAAAAATGTAATTTTTCAAACCTTTACCTTATTTCATTTTCAATTTGTGAATATTTTGTAGATATAAGAATCAAAACCAAATTCTGGAAATATCCTTTGCTATTTTAAAACATAAATCCCATGATAAAGTATAAGGTTACCTGGTAATTGATTTTCTTCCAGTAGATTATACACAAGTTTGTCTATTGAGACCCAATCAGGTACAATTTATTATTTGGAGTTGTTGCCTAATATCTTAAAAACTATAATAGAAGGATAGAATCTTTAAATGCTAAAAATGATCAGCAATACAGTATCTACAAAGAAGTCAACAGAGTTGAAATCTTCAGTCGACGCCTTATTACAGTTTTGCACCATAATGACGATTTTTACCAATTTTTTGCACTCTGGCTAATATCTTAAAAACTATAATAGATAGATAGAAACTTTAAACAGCTAAAAAGATCAACAGGACAAGATCTACAAAGATCTACAAATAGGTCAACATGACCAAAATTGTTAGTCGACTCCTTATTGAAGTGATGGTTTTTCCTATTCTTGCCCATTTTTGCTTAATATCTTGAAAAGTAATATAGATAGATAGAAACTTTATATAGGACAAATTATCAGCAAGACAAAATCTACAAATGAAACTTGCAGAATCTTCAGTCAATTTGTTATTGAAGTTTTTGCCCTTAAACGATAATTTTTTTATTTTTTTTTTTTAATATTTGCTTATTAATTTGAAAACTATTACAGTTAAATAGAAACTTTAAAAAGGAAAATTTATCAGCAGGATAAGTATACAAATATATCAACATGACTGAAATTATCAGTTAACTCTTAATAGAGTTATTCTCCTTTAATGATGAATTTTACTAAAAAGTGGCCATTGTTGAAGATTCAGGTAAGTGACACTGCCTCTTTAGAGCCTAGTTTTTCAATCAAATTTAAAGGCTATAAGTCAATGTTCTCACACAAATTATAGACAATTTTACATATTTCTACGAGGTAGAAATTTTATCCAGTGCTACATATTGTTGTTGAAGACATATGTGTTTTCTAATTCATTGTTTGTACAAATCTGACTTTAAATAAAATTTATTTTATCTTATCATATCAGGGCCTAATCTAGGATTTTTGAGAGGGAGAAGTGACTTCTCCTTCAATGAGAGAGAAGGGAGAAGTGGTCAATTTCTTGGAGAAGTGAGATTCCATTACCGTTTCGGTTGCATAGTGTTCTCGTGCTTATCACTAAGGAAATTGTTTTATATGCAATAAAAAATATACTTTCAGTTTTTTCATGTTATTGTACAAAATGTATATATATATGTTTACTTTTATAAATTTTGACTTGGATGGAGAGTTGTCTCATTGGCACTCATACCACATCTTCTTATATCTATAGAAAGTTCTTAATAAAAAGGTTAAGACAATATAGTTATTATTTATTTATTGATACCATTTGTACTGTCAACTTGAATTAAAGTTTAAATAAAATTTGTTGCTTGGGACATGAGGGAGTAGCCTAGTAATATTATGATGCATTAAATTCATGTGCATCTGCCTCAATTTGTTTTTAAATGTCCAGAAAAATATGACTCCCAGTTTACCTGATAAATTTCACATGACTGGGAATTTAATTTATATCACCACTTGTCATTATTTTGTAAAACATTATTGAATGTCCAGGACATCATGTTACATGTAGTTGTAAATTGAGATTCTCGTTAAAAACTGTAAGCCTATAAATGAAAATATCTGTCAATCACATATTAATTAACTGATAAAGAGCTAATTTCTATCATTTTTGTCGAGCCTTCGACTTGAGTCAAAAACGCGAGACATAGCGATCCTACATTCCTTCGGCGTTGGCAGCGGCGTCCACAAATATTCACTCTGTGGTTAAAGTTTTTGAAATTTTAATAACTTTCTTAAACTATCCTGGATTTCTACCAAACTTGGACAGAAGCTTGTTTATGATCATAAGATAGTATCCAGAAGTAAATTTTGTAAAAATAAAATTCCAAATTGTCCGTATTTTACTTATAAATGGACTTAGTTTTTCTGCCGGGAAATATTACATTCACTCTGTGGTTAAAGTTTTTAAAGTTTTTAAAATTTTAATAACTTTCTTAAACTATTCTGGGTATGTACCAAACTTGGACAGAAGCTTGTTTATGATCATAAGATAGTATATAGAAGTAAATTTTGTAAAAAAACAAATCCATTTTTTCCTTATTTTACTTTTAAATGGACTTAGATTTTCTGCCAGGAAACAACACATTCACTCTGTGGTTAAAGTTTTTAAAATTTTAATAACTTTCTTATACTATTTTGGATTTGTACCAAACTTGTGCAGAAGCTTGTTTATGATCAAAAGCTAGTATCTAGAAGGAAATTTTGTAAAATAATAAATCCATTTTTTCCGTATTTTACTTTTAAATGGACTTAGATTTTCTGCCAGGAAACAACATATTCACTCTGTGGTTAAAGTTTTTAAAATTATAATAACTTTCTTATACTATTTTGGATTTGTACCAAACTTGGGACAGAAGCTTGTTTATGATCAAATGCTAGTATCTAGAAGGAAATTTTGTTTTCTTCCAGTTAACATTACATTCAGTCTGCAGTTAATGTTTTTAAACATTTATTAGATTCATAAACTATCCTGGATTTTTACCAAACTTGGACAGAAGCTTCTTACAATCAAAAGATAGTATCAAGAGGAATATTTTTATTGCTTTACTTCCTCATTTTTGTTTAGCCTGCAATTAACAGAAAAAGTAGGCGAGACACTGGGTTCCGCGGAACCCTTACAAATTTTTTAAAGGTATCTCCCCTATCAATGAAATGGTCGTGAAAAAAAAAATCCACTGCTGATCACAGCTGGTCGAGTGTCGTACGTTTGCAATCACATTATCCATCAGCTGACTTTCTACCTTTTATATTTCAATTTTTATTCAATGAATATAATAAATCTACTGTTAATTCCCACCCTTAACCTACCGAGTAGTACAATTGATCGACTTGTAATAAATAAAAATAAAACAAATCAGCTGAGTGATTATGCAACATCATCAGATGAAAATCATTATAAATTGATAACTTTAACAGACGGTCAGTTTTCCGTTTGAATAGTTTTGAATGTTATATCTGAGATTTAGCGATTTTCAAAATTCTTCCGTGACTTAAATCGTCATTTCGGCGGCAAGATTATGGCATGTCATATGTCTTCAACAACAATATGTAGCACTGAATAAAATTTCTACCGCATAGAACAAGCTCTCAATGGCTTTTTTCCAACAGTAAACCACTACAAATATAGGAAATATGACAGGGGCAAAAATGTACAGATTGTTGAGCTCCACTATTGTCCTTTTAAGTCAAAACTGTCAGATTGTTTCTCAAAATTAGTTTGGTTTATTGATTTCTATGATGTTAAAAGTTAAGATTTATACAACTAATATCTCAAAAGGTTGAAAATGAGTGATAGATATGTATGAGAAATTACATGTGGAAAAAAGACTTGCAAGTATTTAAATGCCTACATTGTTTTGGGGTATCAATGAAAAATAGCTGAAACATGAGTATCACTGAAATTTTTATGTTAATAACTCCTTATAATTTTACAGGTTGATGGTAAAAATAACCCAAAGATACAGAGTATATTCTTAGAAAATTATCCAATATACTCAGCTCATTTCAGTGCCAATGGAGAAGAGGTTATTATGGGGTCAAAACATAAAGGTTTTCATTATTATGACATGATGGTTGGGAAAATGATAAGTGTACCTCCTATTAAAGGTAAGAAAGTTATATTAAATGATTAGTTGAAATGAATTAGAAGTTTTCAATTTTTCAGAATCTAATTATTCCAAAATGTTGTAATTGCTCAACTTGAAACAGTTTTAAGAAAGAAATATATATATATATACTTAGAAAGCATAATAAAAGATCAGTAGAAGTGAAGTTCCAAATTTTTCAGAATTGAAAGCATTGTTCAAATTGTTATGATTGCTTATCTTCAAGGATGTATTCTTCTGATGTTTCAGTCTTGTTGAAATCTCCTTTCGGGAATTATTTCCATAACATGATATAAGTGGACAATATCAATGAATTTAAAATATTATAATCAAACTAATCTCTGTGAAAAAATTGTGTACTTGCAATAAGTAGTTTTTGGTAACCAATCCGGTCAGTGTCATTAGCCAAAATGTTGAGCAAATGTGTGAGGGGAACAAAGAAATCATTTTACCAAAAATATGTACATCCCATATCAATTTTTTCAATCATTTATAACAAGGAAGTTGAAATAATATGCTTTTTTTTCTAAAAAAAAGAGAGAAAAATCCCAAATTTACAGAATTGACAGCATGGTCAATTTGACATGAGAAAGCAACAATATTTTAAAAAACTTTCTAATATTGACACCAACTCTATAGTTTTTTTAAGTTAACTTTATTCAAATTAGTCCACTTCATCTTTAGTGAATGTTTGAAAAAAATTTTAATTGTGAAACTGATTTTTTCATGTTTATAGCCTAAAAATGGGTAAAAATTGATGAAAAATGGGAAAATCATTAAAAATGGGGTACTTTCAAATGGCCGTAGCAAAAAAAGGAGTGCGCCACTATATGATTTTTTCTTCATCAATAACTTTCTTGCAGTCATATAAACCCAACAATCAGGTTAAGAAAAAAATTTAATTCTAGAAATATTTTGCTCCTCAGAGGTGTACATCCTTAAACAAATCTCCAATTCTCCTCATCTGTTAACATTTAATTTTACTATAAAACTGTTTAAATGAATATTAAGGCAAAAATACCCCAAAACTACAATTACCCAATGTTAACCCAAATCAAACCAGGGGATTTCACTGGTAGTTCATACACATATCATTAGCTCAGCAGTCAGTGCTTCAGTACTGGCATGATTAATAACAAACTTTTCTTTTATTCTCTGTTGATATATATAATAAAGATATATTGAAGAAAGGTTTTACTGCCTCAGGCCAAGTTGACCTTAGATGAATTTGAGTATTCCTTTTAGGTCTGTTTTGGTCATACAGATCCTCAAATGTTCAGGAATCAATACTGTAAATCTTTGCTTTTTAAATTGTTTGATCATTCCTGATGAAGATAAATCTAGAAAAGTACGAACACACAAAATTTATAAAGTGATACTTTCATGTCATAGGTATATCTACAAATGTTTATGATATTTAATTGGTGTTTCCTATGTGACAGTCTATTGGTTTGATGAAACAGAAAAGACATGATGGTTAACATAGTTTGTTTTTCATTTAGGATTAGAAGAAGTAAATATGAAGAGATTTGTTGTGTCACCTGATGGAAGATTTTTAGCTTTCTTAGGATCATATGGAAATATTCACTTATTGTCAGCTAAGGTATGCTCTTTAATTGTAGTTTAAGGCACACTAACATTGCTCTTGTCATTTGACTATATTTTATCAACTTTCCGCAGTGTGAATGTGCTGACTACAGTACTAATTGTAGGACATTTGGATTTTTAAAACTTCATTTTTGGCCTCTTCTAATAAATGATAATCTTAATACTGCATTAGAATATAATGTGTCACATAAGCTAGCAAAATAAATCAAAACTTATTTGGCTTAATATGCTAGAAAATTCGTAAGGGTTCCACGGAACCCAGTGTCTCGCCTACTTTTTCTGTTAATCACAGGCTCAACAAAAATGAGGAAGTAAATCAATAAAAATATTCCTCTTGATACTATCTTTTGATTGTAAGAAGCTTCTGTCCAAGTTTGGTAAAAATCCAGGATAGTTTATGAATCAAATAAATGATTAAAAACTATAACTGCATACTGAATGTAATGTTAACTGGAAGAAAACAAAATTTCCTTCTAGATACTAGCATTTGATCATAAACAAGCTTCTGTCCAAGTTTGGTACAAATCCAAAATAGTATAAGAACGTTATTAAAATTTTAAAAACTTAAACCACAGAGTGAATGTGTTGTTTCCTGGCAGAAAATCTAAGTCCATTTAAAAGTAAAATACGGAAAAAATGGATTTATTTTTTTACAAAATGTCCTTCTAGATACTAGCTTTTGATCATAAACAAGCTTCTGTCCAAGTTTGGTACAAATCCAAAATAGTATAAGAACGTTATTAAAATTTTAAAAACTTAAACCACAGAGTGAATGTGTTGTTTCCTGGCAGAAAATCTAAGTCCATTTAAAAGTAAAATACGGAAAAAATGGATTTATTTTTTTACAAAATGTCCTTCTAGATACTAGCTTTTGATCATAAACAAGCTTCTGTCCAAGTTTGGTACAAATCCAAAATAGTATTAGAAAGTTATTAAAATTTTAAAAACTTTAACCACAGAGTGAATGTGTTGTTTCCTGGCAGAAAATCTAAGTCCATTTAAAAGTAAAATAAGGAAAAAATGGATTTATTTTTTTACAAAATTTACTGCTGGATACTATCTTAAGATCATAAACAAGCTTCTGTCCAAGTTTGGTACAAACTGAGGATAGTTTAAGAAAGTTATTAAAATTTTAAAAAACTTTAACCACAGAGTGAATGTAATATTTCCCGGCAGAAAAACTAAGTCCATTTATAAGTAAAATACAGAAAAAATGGAATTTTATTTTTACAAAATTTACTTCTGGATACTATCTTATGATCATAAACAAGCTTCTGTCCAAGTTTGGTAGAAATCCAGGATAGTTTAAGAAAGTTATTAAAATTTCAAAAACTTTAACCACAGAGTGAATATTTGTTGACGCTGCCGCCGCCACCGATGGAATGTAGTATCGCTATGTCTCGCTTTTTTGATAAAGTCGAAGGCTCGACAAAAAGGACAAGAATATTCCATTGAACCAAATATATATAATTTAAGGCCCCGCCGACTTACGACCGCCATTCCGTCATTCCGTCATATTGTTTTTAGTCCCGGCTGATCATGACTTAGGTTGGGGCCAAATAGTTTTACCCTATTCCGTCATTTCGCAACAAACAGTTATACAGACTTTTTTTCTAAATGCCTCAACATATTGATCTGATTCTTAGAATGTGAGTCTATTATGATAAGTTACAGATTTAGTTCCATTCTGCTGATTTTTGAAGAAATTACGGGCTTTATACTTTGAAAATTACACTCCTAAAATGGCTTCAAGCTTTTTTTTAGAGCAGGGCCATTCATGTCGTCAGACTCATCTAGTTTTTAAAATAAAACTAAATTTCCAAGTGAATACTGATATAGACCTAGATACTTAATTTCAGTGCATATGATGTGCATATACTTGTGAATAATCATCATATACATTTAAGAAAAAAGTTTTATAGGCTAAATACAAGTTTTATAGGCTAAATACAAGTTTTATAGGCTAAATACAAGTTTTATAGGCTAAATACAAGTTTTACAGGCTAAATACAAGTTTTTTGTATCAAAATAAACAGAACAGAAATCATAACAGCTAAAACTGTAAAAGGTATGATTCACATTACAGTATTTTTTAAACATCTTATATGAAATAAGAAGATGAAGTTAATTGTCAATTTAAAAAAACCATCAATCAAAGACCAGGGGATGAAGGAGAATATTAATATTTGTAGATCACTGTTTGGAATTAAAATAGCCAAAGCTAAACCATAAAAAAATGTGATAAATCTTCTGTTTCATATTTTCAGTCAAAAGAATGGATCTATACACAGAAGATGAATGGTAGTGTAGGTGGTATATGTTTTTCACAAGATGGAAGTACAATGTATTCATATGGAGGTACTTTCTTGTCACATTCTCTTTTCTTGAATTTGATTTACGTGAGTTCATGGTCACAAACTTTATGGTACTTGTTTATTCACAGGCAGTAATACAAGCAGAAGTGCCTTTCCTGTAAGTGATCAAGATACTTGTCAAAGCTGCAAGGGCTTTAAAGTGAAAAAAATATGATCTGACCTTGACCATAAATGAATAAGAAAACATGAAATAGGCACACCTTATACCTATACCAAAAGAATCAGGAAGTATATGCTTGAAGACCAAATAAAAACTGTAGTCTGTTCATAAACATGTCTTTTCTTTTCCTCAACACATCTCACTCATTACTATTAATGTGTCTTGTTCATGTATAATCTTCCAGATTTTATTCTTTGTTTTAACATATTTTATGTTATATTTGCTGAGAAAGAAGTACTATTTACTCACAAATCCTTTTATGCTCTTGAACTTTTTATTTTATTTGGTATTTTAAATGTTTTGACTAGAGTGCCACTGAAGAGTGTTATGTAGACGAAAGGCATATCTGACATACCAAATTATAAGCTTGGTATCTTTATTGTTTTTCCTCTAATGTTGGCTATCTGTTTGAAAATAAAGTCTGGTATCTACTATGATGACAGGATTATGAAAATGTAAGAATGGAGAATTTAAGTGAATTGTCAAAAATTCTTAGTGTTAAATATTATAAAATATTAATGAAATGAAGGAAATTTCAACTGAAGAATTACGTGTGTATTGATAACAACATGCACATGAGAAAAGATGGTAAATGATATGTAACATTTCTGAAATAAATTTGATGGTTCTAATTTAGATGATGGTGATGTATATATATGGGATATGAAGACACGTGATTGTATTCACAGATTTATAGACGATGGATGTACAAAAGGCATGTCTATTGCCGTTTCTCATGATCATAATTTTTTAGCATGTGGATCATATAGTGGTGTGGTGAACATTTACGAACCATCAGTGTGTCTTAAATCTAGATCACCTAAACCATTGAAAGCATTGTTGAATTTAACCACACCTTGTACGAACTTAATATTTAATTCAACATCAGAAATATTAGCTATGTGTTCAGATTCTGCAGAAAGAGCTGTAAAATTAGTAAGTATAATGATATAGTGGTGTAAATGTTTCAAATGTGAATTATAAAGATAAACCTTAACATTTATATAAAAGTAAGGAAATGAAGTTTGATTGCCAATGAGACAACTATCCACCAAAGTTCAAATGAAGTGGATGTAAGCAATTATAGGCAACCATTTGGCCTTCAACAATGAGAAAAACCAATACCGTATAGTCGGCTATAAAAGGCCCTGACATGAAAAATATGATACAATTCAATTGAGAAAACTAACAGCCTAATTTAAAACAAAACATTTTACGAAAAACAAAAATGACAACCACTGAACTACAGGCTCCTGACAGGCACATAAAGAATGTGGCAGGGTTAAACATGTTTGTGAGCGCTCAACCCTCCCCTAACCTGGGACTGTGGTGTAACAGCACAGCATAAGATTGCTTTTATTTCTTTAGCTAAACAGAAATAATATAAATCAAAGAGCAGTGCATACAATGGCATGGATATAAAAGCATGTATTTTTAATTTTATCATATTTATGATTTCCTTGTTATAGATTTATTTTATGCTTTTTTCAAGTGTTATTAAGGCAAATGAAAACATGAGCAAAACACTGTTGCCCTAGTTGTCAAGTATTAAAATGAAATAAAGAGCCAGCAGTCAATATGATACCTGGCTTTTTACTTTTAGTATGGAAATTTGTAATAACATTAACGGTACCAAACTTGATGTTCTTTCAGTATGTGATAGAATATCAGCATAACATCGCTTAGTTTTATTTATATCAATAGAATTTTATTGATGGTGCCCTTCAAAGTTTAATGTCCACAATGATAAAATTGAGAATGGAAATGGGGAATATGTCAAAGAGACAACAACCTGACCAAAGAGCTGAATGGCCACAATGAGGCTATATTAAATGTCCACAATGAGGATATATGTTTGTTTTACCATAGATTTTGTCACACCAATCAGATCATAATGACAGTAGATTCACACTATTAGGCTATATGTTTGTTTTACCCTAGATTTTATCACACCAATCAGATCATTATGACAGTAGATTCACACTATCAGGCTAAATAAAATTGAGAATGGAAATGGGGAATATGTCAAAGAGACAACAACCCGACCAAAGAGCACACAACAGCCGAAGGCCACCAATTGGTTGTTTGTTTTACCAATGATTTTCTCCCACCAATCAGACCTTAATGACAGTAGATTCACACAATCAGGCTATATCCTTTGTTAAGTTACTTTTGGACATTAGTTTATATTTTACAAAAGCAATATACAAATAAGAAGATGTGGTTTGATTGCTATTGAAACAACACTCCACCAGAGACCAAAAAACATATAAGTAAGTAAGGAAAGGTCACCATGCAGCCTTTAACAATAAGCAAAACCCATGATAATACTGAATAGCATGCAGTAAAAGGCCTCGAAATGACGAATGTTTGTAAGTTATAGAGATTGCAGCGCTCTCTTTTTCTGAAATATCATATTGACACAAACAAAAATAAATGGTTGTACACACAAATTATAAATTGTATTGCAGGTACATGTACCTTCACAGACAGTGTTCTCTAATTTTCCTGATAGACTAGATGCTAAATTACGCATCCCTTTGTGTATGGACTTCTCCAGAAATAGTGGTTATTTTTCAGTGGGCACAAACAAGGGTTTAGCCCTACTTTACAGGTACAGTTTTTATAGTTCAAAAGTCAGTTTTATATCCAAATGTAAAAATGTAGTGATTTCATAGATTCAACATTTATGGTTATAAATTCACAAAAATATTTCTGTCATTTTGGTATTTATGTAAAATTAACTTTTTTATTTCATTGGATACTCAAATTACTCCTTTTACTAAGTCTATAATTTGATATCTATGCAGTATAAAAAAATGTTATAAAGATTCATACTATATTTTCATAAGGAAATTTAAAGCAGTGATTTTATTTTTGAGCTTTTCATGAATTTCAAATTTTGAATGAAACACTTGAAACAAGCCTGTTAATAAGGAAAAGATTCACCTTCAATCAAATTTTATACCATGCGTCGCTCGGTAAACTCAAATTGCGACAGAAAAACCCATATTTTGCGTAGGCCAAGTTTCAAATACAAAACAGTTGTCTCTTAATTGGAAAAAGATTGTAACCAATCAAATGCTTACTTCGGAGCTACTTATGTATAAGAGTAACTTCATTTTAATCTGAATCAAAATCAATTTATTTTATGAAATTTTTTCATTTACATGTATGTACCTATAAATGAATATACAATCTGTACAAATGGTCACCTTTGTTGGAGTTATTAGACCCAAAATGAGAGTTTTTTATGTACATATTAATTCCTCTACCTGTCAGTGTCTGCAAGAAGTGTCTGGTTCAAGGGTCATGTATTGCTATAGTATTGATGTCAGCTGGAATATGACAAAATCTTTATCAATTACTTTTAACTGTTTACTTGATAGTGACTGTGAATTAATGTAAATGCTTTATAGGTATACTTTATGTGTTTTTTTGCTACAGGTAAATTATACCTGATTCTGAATTAGGTACAGTTTGGATTTTAATGCCGTTGCCATCATTTTGTTGTAGCTGCATCTTTTATACAGAATATATCTTTAATTGTAGAGTGAAGCACTACAGCAATTACTAGTACATGTAGTAATATCTATAAAAGAACAATTGCCATGCAGGTCATCTAAAAGAAGATGAAGATCGGTGAACATCCAATAAGGCCAGATCCAACATACACTGTACTGTGTAAGCCTGTTTAAGGCTTTAATGTTATTTGACATGTTTGATACTATGGAGAACAGATATCCATTTTTATTACCATAAAGAAGTGAACTTTGGAAATTGTATATTTATAGACATTCATGAACATTTTAGCAATGAACATGAAACTATAAGCAATGTTATATTTATAATACGTGTATTATCAGTGACTTTTTAAAACTTATTATTCATGTAGTGTTTCAAGAAAATGAATAATTGTTAGTTAGTGATGCAAATTGTTTTAGTTATTTGATACTTTCCAGCACTTGGACACTAAGTAGTATAAGTATTAAATAGTTTATATTGTATAATTACACTTTTATTGACATTTAAAATTTTAAAATCAATTGAAGTCACAACAAGTACAAGTTGTCTGTGTATCTGTCACAATATTTTACTAAATTAAATCTAAGTAAAATGATGTAAAAATAAGTTGATGTGGTATTTTACAACTATCCAACTGACTTGTATCCAAGTCGATAAATCCTTTACATTGTATCTTTTGAATACTAACAGGATTCCAAAGATACTTTATATCATTATTGAAACTATTACATAGTATGGCATGGTTATAATAAAATGTCCACCTTAAAGTTCAAGGTTTCACAGATGTTGTTTATACACTGATGGTTCTGGTTGATAGTGGGCGGTACTTGATAGTTGTATACCAGCATCCTTCATGTCTCTGCTGCAACTAGAGTTATGAAGACAAGACTTACCATTTCTTAGATTCTGTAAAAGCCTTAACATTTAGATCCAGTACATTGTAGATAGTCAAGTTTGTTTTAAAACATCAATATCTTTGCCAAACCTGCATATTTTTTTAATCTTAAACTTAAGATTCATCATTATTTAGATACATCACCAATGTCAAATTTTTAAGTATAGTTTTTTTTTTCACAGCTAATAGACTTAAGGTGTCAGACCACCAATTCACCCACTACAATTAAGAACGTATGTAAAAGCAGCCTTTCCCGGACAAAAAATAGTGGTTTTTTAGTGTCATTATTTACTTAAACTAACCAAAAAAATTGCAGAAATGAAACTTTTGTTGAAAGAGAAATATATGTAAACCATTTTGAGCCAAAATTTACTTGTCTATGAGTTTGCATTAAAAATTGAGGATTAATGCCTCCATAGTATACTTATTTAAGATTTCCAGAAAACCATGGGTTATTTTTAGCAGTACTTGACTTCTGAACGTGAGCATTTCCTTACAAGACTTAAACATAGGTTGACAATTGGCATATAGAAAGATGATACATGTGCAATTCAGGATATATACCTGGTATCTATGAAGTTAAACTTAAGGTAAAATATTTAGAAAGCTGTGAAATTAGCAAAATTTGGTTGATTAGATAGGGATTTTGAATTTTGTGGTCTTAACCTTAACCTTTTTGCATTTAGCATTTAAATTCATTCTGGTATTAAAGTTTATTATGCATTTATAATTTTGTCAAACCTTCATGGAAATTTATAATGTTGTGATTCCGAGTATATCTAAATACCAATAGATACCTTGGATGGTCGTTCCTGCAGTCAGGACCGGCCAGATTGCTCTTCAGTGATATATGTCGTCTGTATAGCCATTATTCATTACCGGAAGAGAGGGATTTCTGGGTAGTTCTTCGGACATCTCTAGATGGTCTGTCTGATGACCTAAAACTAACCCTACGAATACTACACTCCCCCCAGTTTTATTAATAAGGCCCCCTCTACTGAGGTGGGCCCTGTGAATTTCGCCATAAATTAACAAAATACGGAAATCATACCCAATTTAGAGAAAATATGCATCAATTTATAATACACAGTATACACCCTATCCCCCCAACAATTTACAAAAAAGTATACAACCTACCCCCCAAACAGACCCTATTCACGGGTTTACTGATACACTAAAAAGTTAGTGCAATGGGTTCCCAACAAATTGGGAACCCAGCCAACTGTGAATTGTTCTCTGAATCGTATGCCAACTCTCCCCTTCCTTTATACAAACTATGCCCTGGACACTAAGTGGCTGCAAGTCTTCTATATAGTTGGACCCAGGAGGTTGTGCTGATCCCGTCTCCATTGTGAAGAGTTTGGTCTCATTTTTCCTCCCTTGCACTGTAAATATATCTTTGTTAAGGTAGGGAATTCCAGGGTCCCACTGTCTTCTGGTGGGACCCAATCTAACTGGCAATGGTCACACGTAAGACTGGTGTCCCACTGTCTACTGGGGGCGGCTGCAGATTAAAATAATTAGTGCCCACATTATCTGCTTTCAAAAGTGACCCCAAACTCAAACTTGGATTGTCTGGATTAAAGTATGCAGATTCTTTGTCTAATAAAGATTCTACAGTAATAACTTTTTCTTTGTAGAGCGGACGGTTGCTTTCAGTTGCGGCCTTTCTGTCAGTTTCTCCCGTTGAGGAAGGGTCCTCAAAAGTGAGAGATGTATGACTGTTTTCAGTATTGTCAGTCATTCCTCCGTCAACAATAGGAGTAGGACATGTCGAATCCTGGTATTGCGGACAAACTGTGACTATCTTCTCATCACTGGCCCCTTCTACCTCATCGTCTGAGGTGGAGTCCCAACTTTCTTGGGCCTCCTCATCACTTGCCAAAGTTGTCTCTGTTTGGGCAGCAACCTTGTGAATGCTACTGCTATTCTCAATTGCCAAGATAGCTCCTATGGGTTCCCTCATAATATTGGCTACTGGACCCTCCAGATCCCCTGTGAGCAATGCTGGAGCAACTAAGTTGCCTTGGGGCACCTCACATTTCTCTACTAATGGTATGGCTGGGGTATCCACCATCAAGGAATACCCCTGGTTGGCCCTTATTTTCCAACAACCACTGTCTGTGTCCTTTATTAAAGTGAACCTCCTGTCCTCATCAACCTTGATCAGTTTATGAATATCCTGTAAAGAGTACCCGGCAAAGCCTGGGTGCCTTTTAAGGATTTCCTCCACCAACAAATACCCACCTGGGAGGAGGCTTTGGACCAACTCCAGTGCACCATGCCTCAATATGTCCGCAAGACATTTAAATAAGTAGCAGTCCAATCCGCCTGAAGGAGTTGCCTCTTTGTCAGAATTGGAGCACTGCTCTGACTCAATCTCTGCTCTAACCTTCACCGACACACTCGGTTCTCTGTTTCCCTCCCTGTCCCTGGCACCTACCCCTGGGCCCACTATAGCTACCTCCGCTACTCTGGCTTGGGGTACAGACGCAACTTCTGAGAGGCCTAACTTCATTTGCGGGGACTCACTCCGGCCTCCTGAGTAGTCCCGTTGAAGTTTAATGGTCCAGTTGCAGTTCTGCTTGACTGATTTATGAAGGTAACAGTTTTATCCCTCCCCTGGAAATCTAGACAGTCCTTCCTTCCTTACATGTCCAGGCTTAAAACAGTGGTAGCACACTCCCTCCCATGGAGGCCCTCTATGAGTGGAGGGATTCCCTGAGATGGACTTACCTCCCAAGTTTGGACAATCCGTTTTTAAATGGCCCCTCTCCCCACAGTGGTGGCAACCTTCCGCCCCTGTCTGTCTGCCCGGTGAGGGGCTTCCTGCAATGGGGCTTGTGAGGAGTTTCTTAAATTGGTCCATCATGTCATCCAATTTCTCATGCACTTGACCCAACTTATTTTCAAATTTTTTATTGGTCTTTTCCAATTCACTTTTCCAAGTACTCGCTGGGGCCCTCTCAGGGGCCATAGTAGCCCTTACCTGCGGTACCTGGTACTCGTGGAACACCTCTGGGTGGTCGTCATACCGGCCACCCATTACCTGCCTAACCTCACGCCTAGTTGGCTTCCCATATATTGCCTGGGTATTGTGCTGGAATAGCCGTATTTTATCTACGGCCTCTATGCTTTGGGGCTGGAGATTTGGGACTTGCACCCCCAACTCTTTGTTTTCAATACCCTGGCACAGCCGCATTACGGCCTGCTCATACATATAGTCATCAGGGAGGTTTCTAAAGGCCCTGGTAGCCAAGGACAACACCCGATCAGCCCAGTCCTCGAGAGACTCCTCAGGGGCTTGCCGGGCATTGTTGAACTGGACCCGGGCGGTCTCAGGGAGTGCCTTGAAACCAAAGCGCTTGTGGAGCTTCTCCACAAGCTCCTTATAACTCACCTCCCTGTCTCTTTCCGTTATGAGGGCATAATACTCGCTGGCCTTCCCCTCAAGGCACCAGCAAAGTTGGTCTTTACATTCCTGCGGACCCCATTCACAAACCTCTGCGTACCTTGCAAATTTTGTGAAAAAGGCCTGCCAGTTGCCCTTCCCGTCATACTTAATATTTTTTGGGGCATTGCTAACTTTAGAGACTGCACCTAAAGTTGCTCGTGCCCCACCTCTGCTGTCAGGTCCCCTTATGTTTTCCCTGGGCCTATCCTCATTGTGTGGCATTGGGTAAGCATGTTGCCCGTAGCTCCCCCCGGTGGTGACCCCTTGTGGGGGCACCGGTGTATACCCTTGGTTGTACGGATTATGGGATTGCCTATCCCCATAGGCACAGGCAGGGGTCCGCCTTTGGTCCTCACCCCTGTTGTTTGGTCTTTCTTCATACATTGGGGCTGGAGCTTGTCTGGAGTCCTCGCCCCTATTGTCTTGCCACTTACCATACCTACTGCGGGGTGTTTCATACTGTCCCCCATCAGTGTGAGCTGGTTGGGTACAGGGTGCTGACCCCTGACCTGCATAGTTGCTTGTGTGACCCATGGGGTATGAAGGTGCGCCCCTTTTGGTTGGGACGGTTTTGTCCCATGCACTGGCTTCCCCTGGCCAGTGCTGTTTGGTCTTAATACTACTCCCTTGATGTTGGGGATTACCTTGGTTTGGGTCACCCATAATGGGTTGACTCCACTCCGCATGATTTTTTGTAATTTGTTCCCTGTATCCCCCATCCCAATTTTCGGGGGTCTTAGGTGTAGCTCCAGCATCCTCGGGATATGGGCTACACTCAAGAAAGGCAGAGTCCATCTGACTGGGCCCACCCCAGGGCCCGGGACTTTGCCCCTGATGCCATGCCTCTTGCTTAAATGCTGATTGGACATGTACCCGTGATGGGGTGCTTTGTGAGGCAACGTGTCCCCCATCTATTAGTGTGTTAACCCTGCTCAACATTTCATCAGCCTGCCTTGGGCCTCAGGTGGTGGCCCACTATTTTGGCCACCCCAATTTTGATTGAAGTCAAGTCTGGACAAGAGGGCAATTGTCACTCGTAGATGGGAAATTGTGGCTAGGTCTGACTCAGTCACAAAGCCCTTGCCCTCCCTTATGTCCATAATTTGCTCCCCAGTTTTAATTCCTATACCTGGGAGCTGAAGTAACTCTTGAAAGCTACAAGTGTTTATGTTTATAATGGACATTGTAACTGTAAACAATAACACTGATTTTCAACAAAGTTTATTTATTTATCAATAAACAACAACAACCAACACCTTTAATAATACAGATGTTTTTATTTTATTTTATTTTATTGAATAACAAATACTTCCGCTTTGGGTAACCCGTCCTTCTGGTCTGCGGTTAGTAGCGGAAGCGAACAGAACAATAATACGACTGGTAACCCGTCCTTCTGGTCTGCAGTTATCAGAGGTAAACAGAACAATAACAACACGACTGGTTCCCCGTTCCTCCCAAGTCACGTGATCCAAGTCGTCTTGAAAATACGAAAAAACAACAAATACTCAATACTACACAAAAAACAGGGGTTCTACCGCGCTGCAAAACCCCTGTAATGTTATGTAATATTCTCTACCAGAGTATTACACAACAAAAAACGATCGGCAAAGGTTTCCCCCGAATCCTTTTCCGCGGGAAACACTGTTGAAGCGAACGTCGCCTCAAATCACAAAACGAGCTCTTAATTGCAATGCACCACGCAAATAAGTGCTCGCAGCGCCAATGTTGTGATTCCGAGTATATCTAAATACCAATAGATACCTTGGATGGTCGTTCCTGCAGTCAGGAACGGCCGGATTGCTCTGCAGTGATATATGTCGTCTGTATAGCCATTATTCATTACCGGAAGAGAGGGATTTCTGGGTAGTTCTTCGGACATCTCTAGATGGTCTGTCTGATGACCTAAAACTAACCCTACGAATACTACACTAACAATTTTGGAAGCAGTTGCTTCAGGATTAAGAGATAGCGTCTGAAGCAAATTTTGAAAATATCTTTCTAGGAATATATCATGAAAAAGGTTTATTTGTTTTATCAAAAAGTCAAGTGCACAAATATTATTCATATGCCCTTACTACTTCAAAAACATTTAGAGTGACATTTCAATTCCTTCAGTGATAAAGAAGATACCTTTTATTATTGATTCTTATTACTATAACGTTCATCCTTCAGTCAAGGTATAAGATATGGTATTAAACAAAGTATTCAAATG